CAGCACTATCCACGATAATGTATTCATGCTCAAAAAACTGATCCCAGGTTATTTAGTGTTTCCAGCACTTCCCTTCTCCCCGAACCTCACCATAGGCCCATCTCAGAGTTCGAGGCTCCCAGGCCTCTCTCAGACAGAAGGTCTGGAAGGTATCCCTGGCCCAGAACCCAAACTGGCCTTGCAGAGACAGGGTGCAGATCTCAGAGCCCTGGTGTGCATGGGCCTCAGGAAACGGCCTGGACTTTCTCCTGTGCTGCAGAAATAGGCCTGGCCCACCACCGGTCCTCCCTCGAGCCCAAGCCCAACTTCTCCAAGCCGAAGCACACACAGGAACAATTGCCCTTGGCTGGTTGGGCAGCTCGGACTGTGGCGCACTCAGACGCCTCAGGCTGCTCAGGAAGACAGCAGCAGGTTTGGGGAACTCACCTGGGGCCACTGCGTGTCTTCCCCGGCTGTACACCTGGATGTGGTCAACTCCCCAGAGCTGAGAAGCTGAAAAGCAGGGGTTAAAACCTGAATTCAGAAGCCAGATACCCTGAGTTGGAATCCTGGTGCTGCCGTTGGCACAGCTGTGTGACTTTGGGCTGGTTGTTTCACCTCAGCTTTCCCATGTGTGAAATGGGACGATGACCATACCGACCTCTTGTGAGATTTTAAAAAGCTGACTAATGTCTGGCAGTTGTTTATTATATACTCCAGTTGCTGTTGAGGTCAGGAACCAGCAATGTTTTCTATAAATATCCAGATACTAAATATTTTTGGCCTTGTGGGCCATGAGGTCTCTGTCATATGACCCAACTCTGAGGTTGTGGTCCTATAGATAATGCATCACTGAACTCGAGAGTGGATGTGCCCCATGAAAACTACTTACAAACTTGAAAATTAAATTCAATGTGTCTTAATATTATTTGGATTTTTTAATTATTAAAAAATGTAGGGCTGGGGTTGTAGCTCAGTGGTTGAGCATTCGCCTCGCATGTGTGAGGCCCTGGGCTCGATCCTCAGCACCACATAAAAATAAATAAAATAAAGGTACGGCGTTCAACTACGACTAAAAAATAAATTTTTAAAAAAGTGTAAAAAATTATTGCTAGCTCACAGGCTGTATAAAAAAGGTGGCAGCTCTGGTCTAGGTGTGAGAGACGCAGGTGTTATTGCACCCCACCCTAACTACCCACAGTACCTGTGGAGCCCCCCACCTCCCCAGCCCATGACAGTGACCTCATCTTAAGAGCCCCTCTTGAAACTGGGGCAGTGAGACCCCCATCAGGCAGATTAAGGGGCTCAGCTCTACCAGGGCATTCAGAGTTCTAATTCCTCAAGATAAATCCCAGAGATTCCAGAGATTTCCTTGCACATCCGCCAACTCTGCCAGCCCAGCGTGCCGGAGGAGGTCTGACTGGAGATGCAGAGTAGATGGCCGCGCACAGAGACCCTGCTGGCAGGAAGCAAGCCGCCAGCCTCCGCCATCTGTTTCCATTAAGCTTCGCTGAGTGGGGAATTTAGAGGTTATCTGTGTTGGGTTTGAAGCACTGTGAACATTTGTTTCTTTCTGAAGGGAAAAGCCAGAAGACTGAGAGGGCAGAAGTTCTTGGGCATGAAGCAAGCCCCATCTGGAGGTTTGAGGCAGCCCCTCGGGAGCTGCTAACGGCCAGCATGGTGGCCCTGGGGAAGTGGCCACAGCCCACCTGAGCCTCGGGATTCCACACCCAGACCGTTCCCCACCTCAGCCTTTCCCAGCTCCAAAGCCTTCACCCATCTCGAGTGGCCTCCAGCATGACGCTTTCATTACAGATGCTTCAAGATACTCTAAGGACCCCAGGATCCCTCCATCAAATCCTTCTGCTTGGTTCCTCAGGGCCCCACCCTTGACCTGGCTGAGGGCTCCCAGCCCACACAGGGGACCTCCTGTGCACCTCCCACCCTCTGTGAGATCCTCCCACCTGTGCATGCCCTGCATCCCCCACCCTACCCTGTGCCACACCTGGCCACACCCAGCCTTGACCCCGTATATGAAGTGACTTTGCAGCGGGGTCACAGAGGGGCTATTTCACTGTGCCTCAGTTTCCTTATCTGTGAAATGGGGAAACGAGAGCACAACCTCATGGGGTTGCTGATTTTAATTAGAACATGTCTGTCAAGCACTCCCTGAATAATACCGTGTTCTGGGAATGACACTGGCCGGCAGCAGCAGCAAGTGGGGTTCCCTGGGTCACAGTCACCCCTTCCCTCTTCGAATCTCTACCCTTACTGTGTGAACTACACAATGACCACAAGACATTTCTTGCCTGGGTGTCGGGCCACCCCAGTACTGCAAACATCCAGAGCCTCTGTGCCCCCACCCCTCTATGTCACCTTTGCTCCCTGGTGGAGTCTGGCCCTGCACAGGCCTGGGTCTGGACTCAGCCATCTTCATTAATTGATTGAAACCCCCAACACACACACACACACACACACACACACACACACACCTACCTTTCTTTCATGAGGGAACTGGGGAGGAAGACCAAAAAGAAGTTATTTCTGATACATCGCTCTGACAAGCTGACAGAGAATCTGATCAGTGAAGAGCTGGCCCGGGGATGCTCAAAACACCACATATTTAAGGGGGGAACAAAAAGACTTTTGATAAAATGGCCCTCTGAGTGGCACTGAGTTTTAAGTGGACCCACGAGTGCCACCTGGACGTGGCTGGCTTCCACAGAACCCTGGCTGACCAAAGAGGCCTTCCAGGAAACCCCCAGAAGCCCAGGGCATGGCGGGCCCTGCCCATGGTTTCCATGAGCCTCAAGAATCCAGCTCCCCACCCAGAGCCCCCAACGGTGTGGGCAAAGGTTAATGGGCCCCAAGGGGAAGAAGGGAGGTATATAAGGGCCCGTCAGACTAGTGGGACACCAGAGGACAAGCCGAGACCCCTCCAGCCTCCATCAGACCTGGCTGGTGAGTAGCCACAAGACGAAGAGGGCGGGACTTGCCAACACAGAGGTTCCAGCTGGAGCCAGCTCCATGCAGGGCTGTGGGGGAGCTGACCCAGCCCTGTGTCCCTCTGCCACCTTCAGAGGCCTAGCTGGGTTCAGAGGGAAAGCCCTGCACTGACTCCCAAGGGAATGTGTTAAAGTCCCCCATGGGGGCAGCCGCAGGGCTGAGGCTGGGGGCTGGAGAGAGGCAGCCGGGGGCAGCTCCGAGCAGATCCACAGCAGCCCAGAAACCCAAGCCCAAGCTCGGCAGGGACCCAGGCTCCTCTTGGCGTGGCAGCTTAGCTCTGGAAAGTTAAGAACAATCTAGTCCCAAGGGAGACCCTACAGCTAAGCAAGACAGGCTTGGCTGGGGACAGCAGCTGTCCAGGGAGGGGGACGGTCCCCTTCATCCAGCGCAGAGCCTTGAAAGCAGAAGCCCATCCCTGCGGTGGGGGAGGGGATTCCCGCTCTGTCCAGCTCCCCCTCCCAGCCGCCAACGCAAGTGAACGCAGCTGACATGCGGCTGCCAGTGGCTCAAGAAAATGAGCTGCAATTGGATTTTGCCTTTTTTTATTTAAAGTTTTTATTGATTCTTATGGAGTGAATTAAATGTGAACAGCAGAATGGAAAGGGATCTAAGCACCTCTGTGAAGGAAATGGGACCCACAAATGTGACACATCCGTCTCTGCTGGGAGGGAAAACAGGGCCCTGGGGACTCCACGGGGGGGGGGGGGGGGAGATAGGAAGGAGGGGCAGGCGATGGGGGCTCCGCCACTCCCACCATCCTCAGAGCAGCTCTTGTCTCCAGGCCCCTGACCAGCCTGGGCTTTCCCAGAGGTGACCTTCCATGGGTCACCGTCCTCCCCAACCTATTGGGAATTCATATGCACCTAGGTTGGAGGCTCGGGTGTTTGAGTGCTTGCGTTCTTGCTCGTGGTATTAAAATGGAAAGGAGGAAGAAAGCAGGGCTGGGTGTGGTGGCACAGGCCTGTAATCCCAGCAGCCCTGGAGGCCGAGGCAGAAGGGTCACAAGTTCAAAGCCAGCCTCAGAGACTTAGCAAGGCCCTAAGCGACTCAGTGAGATCCTGTCTCTAAATACAAATATAAAGGGCTGGGGATGTGGCCCCGTGGTTAAGCACCCCTGGGTTCAATCCCCGGTACCAAAAGAAGAGAAAGGAAAGTAGGGAGGAGGAGGCAGAGGGTGGGCGAGGAAGGCAGCAGGGATGGCAAGAAGGCAGAGGGGGTGCTGCTGGGGGGAGGCTACATGTGCCCGACTGTGCCACCCAGGTCCAGGACCATTCTGACCCCTTTCGAACTCTCGCACCTGCAGTCCCACACCCACCTGCTCCCTGGCAGCACCGGGGTCCCCTGCAGCCTGCCTTCCTGCCAGCCACTCCAGGCATACCCACTTCCAGGACTCCCCACCGCCCTCTCGGCATCCCGGGGTATGGCAGCTTGCAGAGAGAAGGCCCTCACACTGTTGCTTCTGGACGGTGGCCACCAGGCAGCCAGATGCCCCGGAGCTGGGGAGGGACGAGTTCCAATGCTCATCCCACTGAGCTCTTTTTTTCCACCTGGCTCTTACTCTGCCTGGGTGAAGGTCTCGGCCTTTTCTCCTGTGCACCTGGGGTCATGGCCAGAGGCTTCCAGGTAGAGCTGCAGTTGATGAGCCTGGATCGTCTCTAACCGTCCCAAGGAGTGCCGCCTGGGTTCTGTTGATAATCTAGGAGTTCTTTCTTTGAGCAATGAGGTCCCTCCTGCCTCACAAGGAGACCAGCTGACCCCAGAAGACCTCACCTAACCAAGGGAAGGGCTGCATGGTGTATGGCACAGGCTGGGTGGCCTTTCCCAGGAGCTTGGTCAGCGGCCACCACTCTGGGGCAGGGAGGGTACCCTGAGTTCATCTGGGAAAGCTTGGGTTCAGAGAGGCCAACCACTTGCTCAGGGTCACACAGCTGGCGTGTGGACCAAAACAGATTAGCAGTCTATCACCGTGCCCTAAATCTAGTGACAGGAGCCCCTTGTCCCTGGCCAGCTCCGGGATGGTGTCCTGCAAGGCCATGGCTGCCCTGCTGGTGGTGCACGCAGCCACCATGCTGGCCTCCCAGACAGAAGCCTTTATGCCCATCTTCACCTACAGTGACCTCCAGAGGATGCAGGTAAGGAGCCCTGTGGGTGGGTAACATGGCTGCACCAGTCCCTGAGTGGCCCAGGCTGAATCAGGGCTGGCATCTCTGAAGCAAGCTCTCCACCATCAGCTACCTATGCCAGGGCCACCAAGCAGAGTGTCAGGACCAGAGAACCTGAAGGCCAATGGTCCCTCCATGTCAGTGGCTCGCTGGGTGACACCTTTCCCATCTCTGCCTGTCGTTCAGACCGAGTTTTCAATTAACAAGCCAATTACTATTTCCTGGGCCTCTCTGTGCCAGGGGCTGCCCTGGTGAGGGGCCTGATCATGCAGGAAACCTAAGCCCCATCCCTGCTTTCGTGGAGCAGACTGGGAGCTGGGACCCAAACCACAAATCACAGAAAATTAACAGTCGAAGGCAAAGAGAGATCACGAGGTGAGAGGAGATGAATTGTCCCCCAATTGTCTGGTGTCTGTATGGCATTTGACTCCCTGTAACCAAGAAAGGAAGAAATGGGACTTTTGTGCCCCAGCCTGAGACCAAAGCCCCAGCAGGGCCAGGTGTCTGTTAGTTCTGTAGGGGTCTCATGGCTCTGTGGCACGGCCTGTCCCTGCCTACACACCATGTGGGACAGGTCTCCACACTCCCAAGGAATGGGGCCCTTTGCAGAGACCTGGCTGAACCCAGCTGCCCCCACCAGGGCAGATGCCCCCCCCCAGACCTTCCTCCCACACCCGCCAGCCGCTCACTCTCCCCAGAGGACAACCCATCTCCTCGAATCACCCCCTCAGCAGGTGCATAGCAGAATCCCAAGAGTGCCATTAGAGACACCAGAGGAGTGGGGTGTGTCTGATCTCGGTCCTGGGGACCTGGTACTCAGCGTGCCAGGTAAGATTTGGGGTTGGATAGAAATAGACAAACTCGGTGGAACGCAAGTTAGCAAATTGGTAACCAAAGGACGCGACGTATTCATCCATTGCACGGTTTCCCTTCCCGTAATTGCCAGGCACTGGGATTTTTATGAAGAAGCTGCAAACTCCTTCTTCCATAATTCATCTCCCTGTCTTGCCTCTTATAAATCACTTCCCAGGGACTCTGAGTTCTGGGCCACCCCATGGCGCCCTCACAGGCTGGGCTGTCTTGCTACCTTTTTTATAGGCTCTCGGCTACGAAAGACACATTTTCACACTTAATATGCACCGAGGGTGGCCGTTATTCTCAGCGTTTTAACTTAATTAACAGTAACAATCTGGGTGCAGTGTTTTGACCGCAAAGGAGTGAGCTCCCCTTAGAGCCGGGCTGTGGGCGAGCAGTTCCAAGGGCGGTCCTCAGCCTCAGGTACCTGCGACTGCTCAAGCAGGAGACACCTGGTGACAAGGTTCTCTTGTCCTTGGGAGTTCAGGCCAGTGCTGAGCGACTGGAGATGGGCAGGGGGCCTCTGGTGGGTTGAGGGAGGGCAGTTATGTGCAACGTAATGCTGTGCCCCTAGGAAAAGGAACGGAACAAAGGACAAAAGAAATCCCTGAGCGTGTGGCAGAGGTCTGAGGAGGAAGGTCCCCGAGACCCCGAGGAGACCTCAGAGGAGGAAGAAAACAAAATGATCAAGGTAAGAAAACAGCGAAGAGAAACTGAGCCCCGTGGAGGCAGGGCCCACTAACCTCAGCCAGCCCTGGAATGTTCTAGGACATCCAAGCAACAAGCTCCATCCTGGTAGAGGGACACAGCCACCACCAACGAGACAAATTAATCATTTTAGGCACCAAGGAAGAATGTATGGTTGGGAGTGGCTGGGGGCAATCTGGGGCACTGCCTTGTGCAGGGGAGGGGCAGGGAAGGCCTCTTGGAGGAGGTGACATCTATTTCAAACCTGATGAAGAGAAGGAGCCACCCAGGCAGAGTTGAAGCAAAGGATTTTGGGAAAGAGCAGCAGTGCACAGGCCCCGCTCAGGAGCATTGTTGGCCCTCGGCCTCATGGCTGGGCTTACGGAAGAGCAAGAGGTGGGGGGGACAGCTCAGGCAGGGCCTAGCGCAATTGGGGTTCAAAGCAGCAACCTGACCAACTTAGAAAGATCTAGGGCAGCGCAAATGGAGACCATCAAGAGGCAGCTGCATCCCCAGGATAGAGATCTTGAGGGCAGCCGTTCCCTCCCTCCCCTCCTAGGCAGGAACAGGAGCTGGCCAGGGCCTGGGACCCTGGGAGGCAGGGACTGTCCGGCCTGCAGGGGGCCTTGAACTGCCGGCCCAGACAGCTCTCCAGCTTCCAAGACCCCTTCATTCAGGCAATGAACAAATACATTTTACAGTGTGCAAGGCACTGGGGACAGAGTAGAGAGCAGAGCAGACGGTAACCCCCACCCTGTGGAGAAGGAAAAGGTACTAAAAGGAAACACCACAAACAAGATAAATAAATACTGTAACATGGTCGGTATCAGTAGGCGCTATATGGAGGAAGATGGACCAGGACGAGGAGGCGAGGCGAGTTGCAATTTTAAATAGGGGGGCAGAGCAGGCTTCATGAATAGATAGTATTAGTGCAAAGACTTAAAGAGAAGGTGCAGTGGGCCTTGGGGATGTCTGGGAGAGGAGCTGTCCAAACAAAAGAATCCTCAATGCAAAGGTCCTGGGGCAGAGGAGGACCTGGTGCATTCAGGAAGAGCAAGGAGGCTGACTCGGAGTTGTTTAGACTGAGTTCACTCCACTGAGGTAGGAGCCCTTGGGGACCTTTGAAGAGAGAAGGGGCATAATCTGATTTACACTCTAAAGGGTTTTCCCAAGCTGCTATGTTGAGAACTGAGGGTGCAAAGGCAGAACTAGGAGAGACCACCAAGAAGGCAGGAGGGGGATGAGAGAGCCCAAACTGGAGGGAGGTCACGGTAGAGGGAGGACAAAGTGGCTGAATTTTGGAAATATTTTAAAGATAGAAGCCCATGGGATTTTCTGAAAGAATGGATATGGAATATGAAGAAAGAGAAACATAAAAACCAACTTCAAGTTTTGTGGCCAGAACAGCTAGAAGGGCAGATTTGCTACTAACTAAGAGAGCAAAGCCTCTGTTGGCTGAGAGCGGGAGACAGAAGATCAGGAGGTCAGGCTGGACCTGGGAACTGTAGTTGCTGCTGGCATCCAGGTGGAGATGTTGCACAGGCAGGTGGACGTGCAAGTCTGGATTCAAGAGCAAGGTTAGGACTGGAGATGTAAGCGTGGGAGTCACCAGGGAGCAGATGGAATCCCAAACCAGAGAGGGTGAGGGTCTTGCTGGGCCACACAGGAGTGGGGCAGAGTGAGCCAGGCTCCTCACCTCACACCTCCCTCTGGACGAGGCCCAGGGAGCTTTCCAGTTCTGACTGGCGTGTGGCCCAGAGAAGGACCTCCACATTCTCACTGCACTCAGCAGGGTGGGACTCCTTTTCTCCCTGCACTCACCACAGTCACGGTCACGGAGGGGACAGGGTGAGTCAGGCCGCTGGCAGGGACCAGGGGCACCTCTGAATGGCCTCTAACTTCGCCTGAGCCATAGAACACATACAGCCAACGGATGTCCCTCCTGGGGAGGCGTGGGGTAAGGAACCCCCCCACACACACACACACACCCCTTTTTGTCTCCTGACATCCATGCTACTCGGGGCTGGGAGGTCTTTCCCGAGCTACAGTACAACCTCCTCATCTTGGAGGAAGGAACACAGAGACACTCCTCAGGAACCTCAGCCCTGAGGGCCTGCTCTTTCCCACACCCCAGGAGACTGGGCCACTCTCCCCGGAGAAACCAGGGATCTCATGTCTGTGAGCTGCTTTGTGCAGCAAAACCATTAACCCAGGAAGTGCAGGGGGTGAGGGCAAGATTGGCCAGCACCCCTAGCTCTGCCTCAAGGCCATAAGCACCCCTCTTGGTGGACAGCTCCTGTAAGTCCCACTGTGTCCCCACCTACAAGAGAAACAGTAACTTGGGGGTAGAGAGCACAGACCCTGCAGCCAGGCCCCCATAATGTCTTCTTCCTGGGCTGCTCTGTGTGGCCTGAAGCAAGTCATCTTTGTCCTCAGTTTCCTCATCTGCAGAATGGGCCCTCTGACAGGCTGCACCTCACAGGATCATTTAATATAGATAAGCCCCTTGGAACCAGCCTGGGCCCTGCTGAGCTTAGCTGTTGGTTAGGGGAGGTGAGTTCCCTCCCTGTGGAAAGCCAGGCGGGGTTCCTGGAGCCCCACCCAGCCGGTTTCAGCTTCTACCTCAGGGGGAAGTCTCAGCAGGACTCTGCCCCCTGGTTAGAACTGGGACTGGAGCTAGGACTCTCAGTGGGACCCTGAGGCCCAGGGGATAGGCCACCAGCTGGATGAAGCGGCTCCCTAAGCCCTCCAGGCACCTGTAGGGCGCTCAGGGGTTAACGGCCCTCTCCACGCCTCTCTCTTCTTGTTAACGCTGCCTTATTTCACAGCTGACTGCTCCTGTGGAAATTGGAATAAGGATGAACTCCAAGCAGCTGGAAAAGTACCGGGCCGCCCTGGAAGGGCTGCTGAGTGAGGCGCTGCCCGGTAAGGGTGGGCGGCGGGCAGAGCGCAGCGGGGTCTCCGAGGCTCCCTGCGCCCACCCTGGGGGTCTATTGCAGCAGGCATCCCCCCTTCCCCAGCAGGGTTTGAGGACAGCTTGTTTGTTTTTCTGCTTCGCACTTGAGAACGGAGCTGCCTTCTCCTCCTGGGGCACAGCCCCATCTCAGAGGGAAGGACACTCAATCACAGGGCGGGCTGCTGGCTGCTGGTGGCCAAGTGGCCCCATCCTCCAGCTCAGGGGCCGTCTCAAGCCCTGGCCTCCAAGGCTCAGGCCGGTTCCAGACGTCCTCTGGCAGAGGGCCACGACAAATCAACCCCGGGGCCTCCCGGCTCCAGATATTCTCATTTCTTCCCAAGCACCTCCGAGGCCGGGAGGCTGCTGCAACGGGAACTGTGGATCAGCTTTTCCTTTTTTTCAATCTGTTCTGCAAATCGAAGTCCTGCGCCCCATTTGGCCTTGCCGATTCAAGCTCTGCCCGAGATACTTGTGCAAAGCTAGATCTTGTCTGACAAACAGCCACTAATTACTTCTTCTAGTCCAGGAGGAGAGGCGAGAGACTCGAGGAAGTGGTGTTAGAGAGGGAGAAACCCAGAGGTTAAATGATTTGCCCCAGGCTAGAGAGAGCTTCCAGTGCCTTCCAAAACGCCCATCCCTCGCCCCCAGTGCCCTGCTCCCCCGACCTGCAGCAGGTTTTAAAAGGCATTCTGCGGACTCTACAGAGCAGCAATCCTGTACTTTTTCCCAGCAGCCAAATGACGCTCCTAGGAGAAAGGTGGACCCTCCCAGGAAGCCCTACACACCTGGATGAGCCGAAAATCCTGCCCCACCCACAGCTGGCCTCTGAAGCCAAGGGCCCTCTCCAAAGCAGATCCCTCGCCGGCAAATAAAGCATGAAATACACAGAGATGACTCCTTTATTTAATATCCTAATTTCCAAAGGGCAAACTCAGGTCATGAGGCAAAGTGAAGGGGGCTGAGGAACTGGCCATAAATGGTGCATACATTAGCAAAATGTGTGCCTTTTGTAAGTATCAAGCTCTAATATTAACTCGGGTTGGTGGAATGGGAGGATCTGTCTGGCCCTTCCATTATGGGCAAGGAAACTGAAGCCCAGAGAGATGGCAAAGCAAGGGCTAGAATCCAGGTCTCTTGAATCTTGGTCTTTTTTCTGTGTACTGACAAGCTGAAGGTCTGATGGGCCTGAGGATTTCAGGGCCTCTGCATCAACCCCGTGCTGAGTAACTTCCAACCAGCCCTTTAACCTCAATGAGCCTTTGCAAAAGCAAGGTGGTAATATCTGCCTTGAGATCTGGGGACCGAGGCACCAGCAAAGAACAAATTACTATTATTATTATCACCTTGTGACTACATACTCCAGCATCCGCAGCAAAATTGCACAGCCAACCCACTTATTTCTGCCTTCTAAACAAAACTGGATGGGAAATTTCATTCTAATTTAATTTTACATTAATGAATGTTCATTTATTTATAAACTGGGGCCCTACAGGAATCGCAGCTCCCTCCACCCATAGGTTACCAGCAACTAGACGCAGTGTCCACTCTGTATTGCCACCTCACCACCCGCCACGAGCAAGGGCTCAGCCACAGATGATGGTCACCAGGGCAAGAAGACTCCGACTTTCCAAAAGGGCCCATGTTTGGGTATTCTGACTTCTCCTGAGGAACACCCAAGCCTTCCATGGGACCCAGGCCCTGCCCTACTTTGTGTTTCCACACATTTCTGTCACACATCCTAATCAACCTCAGAGCAGCTGCAATTTCCCAGCAAATGCTGCCAAAATCTGGTACTGAATGGAGAGGGCTGCTGCAGGGGCATGCTGCAGGGGAAGGCAGAGCAGAACAGGAATCCCCACCGCACACCCTGGGAGGAGCTGCATCCGGGACTGGTCCTCGCCCTACAGAGTTTCCCCCATGTCAGTTCACCCAATTATTTGTAACATCCTCCAAGAAGCAGGAAAACAAGAGGTTCAGGTCTCTCCAGGAAAAAAAAAAAAAAAACAACAAAACAAACAAACAAAAAAAACAGTGCATGTTCTTCCCTCGACCTATGCTGCAATCTGCCCCTCCACCAGCAGGAGGTGCTCCTTCCTACCCCACCCTATACCATTTGGGGAATTTTCCCTAAGATGGGGGGCAGGGGTTGGAGAACAGCACTGAAACCCACACCAGGGAAGGAAATGGGACCTCTAGGCAATGTCACCCCAGGCGGTCTAGTTTTGAAATGGGAATTGGTTCTGCAAGCATAGCACCTGGGCAGGGCCCTGTGTGTTCCTGTAGAAAAGCCCTGTTCAGCACTGCAGCCTGGCTGTCCGCGACCCTCACCCTGGGGCCTCTGATGTGTTTCTCAGTAATGAGTCACAGCAGGGACCCAGCCACCACCTACATCTGTATGCAGAGTGCCCCTGCGGCCTGCTTAGAAGTGGTGGCTCCTTTCTTCCCTCGTTTTCCTCCTCCTGCCACTCTTCGATTTCTCAAAAACAGCGCAAATAATTCTTCTTTGCCAACAAGCTCCTCCAGGTTCCACGGCAGCAGACTCGATTGCTTAGGGGACATGCGCAGCCCTGGAAGAAATGAAAATCGGAGGGAGGTGGGGGAGGAATCGGTAAGCTGAGCCAAGAGAAAAAGACCATGTTATCACAAAACAAGAAAAGAGATGACACTCCTGGTTAAAGCTTTTGAATGTGTCAAACAGAAACCAGTCAGAGTCGGAGATGGGAGGGTGCCCAGGACAACCTGGAGACCAGGGGACCATCCCTGATGCGGACTCCCAAAGGTGTATCCAGCACAATCTGCAAGAACCTCTGTGGTTAACAGGTACATTAGCCTGCGTGGTCTGGAATGTTCTTTACACTTAACCGGACCACGGGTAATTACCAAGCAACCTGAACCTGGCTTCACAAGATGGAGATGATGAAGTATTTTCTCGGTAACCGCTTCAGTGTGATTTCATAATTACCCAGCTACGTGGATTTGCCATGAAATTGAATAGTTAAAAGCAAAGAGTAATTGCCTGATATCTGTACTCTGTAATTTAGTATAATCTAATCATGGACAAAGCCCAAAAGAAAATACTCTGAAAGCGTTACATTTTTCTCCATACACCATTTATTATTGACATCGGCTAATGTATTCCATGCGTCTAAAGGAACTCTAACCTACGCATACCAAAGTGTAATCGTGGCCAAAAGGGTCAGTGTTTTATTTCGTTTCCATCAGATTATGAAAAGCAGGTGGCACAAGTGTCCACCAAACCTGTTCTGGTATTTTCCTGAGACTATTCATCCCCTTCACTGACACATCCCCAGACCTGGAGAGAACATGGTGGCTTCCTCTTGCACAAAGCAGACACAAGGAGGCAAGAAGTTGGGAGCTCCACAGGTCATCCCAGTCCAAATCTAAGCCACAAATGGCTTCTTCTTTTTTTTTTTTGTCAGCACTGGGGGTTGACCCCAGGGGCATTTTCTGCTGAGCTACATCCCCAGCCCTTTTTGGGACAGAGTCTCACTAAATTCCCAAGGGCCTCACTAAATTGCCCAGGCTGCCCTCAAACGGCAATCCTCCTGCCTCAGCCTCCCCAGTGGCTGGGATCACAGGCCTGTGCCACTACACCCGGCTTACACTCACTCCCCATCCCTCAGTGTGATGCCACCTGCAAAGTGGTTGAGAGGAAGCCTAGAATAGCTAAGGACCCCGGGTTGGGGCTGGGGCTCAGTGGCAGAGCGCTTGCCTAGCTCGTGGGAGGCCCTGGGTTTGACCTCAGCACCACATAAAAATTAATAAATAAAATAAAGCTATTGTGTCCAACTACTTCTTAAAAAAAAATAGCTAAGGACCTCAACGAGGTGGATCAAGGACGAGTCCACAGTCGGAGAGCATCTTAGAGGATCTGATAAATGTGTGCAGGGCTTTTTGCAGGAAGAGGAGAATGGAACCCACTAAAAGATTTATGGCCATTATTATTAGTATAAGGCTCCGAAGAGACAGAGAGGCCAGCAGGAAGGCAGGCGGTGTGGTGGCCCTCCAGGAATCCAGAGGGTGCTCTGAGCAGCCCTCGCCTCTGCAAAATGTGTGGATGTGGTTACTAAGTAGCTGTAGACACTGCAGCCTCTTTTTCCTCTTTTGCCTTTAATAAATCAGAAGACTGACAGCAGCCTGAGCCACTCACCTTTACCAAACTCCCACTAACGATGAGAAAGGAGGGCGCAGCCATGAACTTTTACAGTGTTTTCCTTTTCTTTAAAATATGCTTTCCCTCATCTGACAGGCCCCTGGGAGAGCCAGGTGGACAGCGGTGGCTGAGGAGCCCTGAGGCCAAGCCCATCCCAGGGACAGCATGTGGAAGGTTCTGCGGGGCAAAATAAAGAACAGGCAAACCAACCCCATTAAAATGGGTAAAAGGGTGCCTTGGGGGTGAAAAATGTCAATGGAGGACAGAGGAGGCCACAGAATTCCAGGAAAGGGGCAGGGCCAGAGCTGGGAGCTCAGAAGGCAAGCGGAAAGGCGGAGCCCTGGGAGGCAGGGGGTTACCACAAGGTTTCTCTCAGAGCTGGTGAAGAGGGGTGCTGCCGGGCACCCACTGTTAAGAAGTTGGGAGCCTGGGAGCCTGTGGATGCTCCATACCAAGGCCTGTTAGACCCAGAAGCCACCGTGGGGGCCATGGGTGGACCTGGGTGGCTGGAGACCACCACTACAAACATGCTGGGTTCCAGGCCAGAGGAAAGTCGACAAGATGTGGGGGAAGAGCTGTGGGCCATTTGGCCATAGGTGTGTATAAAAGTGGCAGCAGCATCTCTGGATACAAAGAAGATCAACAAAGCCCCCACTGTGTCCCACTACTGGGGTGGCTCCCATCAGTCTACATTTTTAAAGCGCCCTGAGATCCATTGTGATAGAACAGACCATAACTCTGAAACACTGCAACGTTCACCTTGTTTAAGCATCAGTTTCAAGCCCTCTCAGAACACACAGGGCCAGTATTGATGCCGAAAGGCTCATTCTTTATATATTGAACTGCACAGCTGCAAGGAGTAGCACAAATGTTACCAACTCATTTGTCATGCAAACAGTGCTTCAGAAAGAAATAAAATACTATTATGTGGTATATGTGTTAGGCAATCACTATATCAAATCCATGGCATTCCGTGCAAACACAGGCAGAGAAAAGGAAAACAACACTTGGTGAGAGAAATCGCACCACATGGGAGCAGCTAAGTCGGGGAGATGGGGAGGCTAACAACGGAAGCCTGACCGTGCAGAGGCTGTAATTTTCCCAGCAACGTGGCCAGTGTTGAATACCCCTGAGGTACAGCAAGTGGCAGGAATGCAAAACCCTCACAGAGGAGCATGGCCCAGGGTCCCAGGGAGGGAATGGATTGATGTAGGTCTGCTGGGTAAAGCTGCAAGGAGATACCAGGGAGGGGGGCTGGGGAAGGCAAGAACTAATGGGAGGGCTGGAAACACTAAGCGCGCAATAAATGCTGGGAAAGGGAGCTGATGAAGGATGTGGAAGGAATATGAAGTGAGCAAGGGAGGGTGGGTAAGACAATGAACTATAGCTCTACTTCCATTGCCATCACTTCCCATGCTTCCCTTAGGGGCTTCCTGCTAAGGGCCTTCTTGTAACCAAATCGCCTGCCCTGTGGGAGGGTCTACACAGCACTGGCAGGGAAGATTTGGGTTAAATATAAACAAGTAAGAGAGTGTGCCAGGCACTGTCCTAAGCACCTTACACAAATTATTTCTTCTAATCCTTAAATAGCAACCCTATAAGGTTTATTGGCAAACAGGCTAGAAATGTTAATTGGATACGATCACATATCTAATAGTTGTAGAGTTGGGATTTTAAATCAAACTCTCAGATCCAGAGCCCACATCTTACAACACAAGGACAGCATCAAGATTGGGAGTCTCTGGGGTCTCCCCTTACCTATCTCCCCTTATGAGAATCCTACCACGCAGCCACGCGGCCTCCTCTGAGCAGCCTCACCTGCCGACTCCCAACCAGGGCATTTGGCTTTTCTGTTTTTCTGATGGGTGGGGTGTCCTATTCCAGGCTGGAGCACATGGAGGCCAGAATCTGTCCTAGGGCAGTGCTGCATGCACTTGGCGCTTAACTTCGGCCAAGTGCAAGGCCAGGAAAAGAAGCCAGCCCACAGCAGACCGAAATGGGGACAAAGTCCCAGGGCATGCCACTGCCCAAACAAAACCAGATCAGACATTGGTCCTCAAGCACAGAAGGTGGCATATGATTTTGCCTCCTGACTGCTGGCAGTGGCTTGTCTCGAACTATTAAGCAATTCATCCATTAAATCAACCAGACTTTACTGAATACCTACCACGTGCCAGGGACTGCTCTGGGGATGAAGGACTCTGAGATAAACAACGCTAGACCTAACAAACAAGAGGAAAGGAGAGGGGCGGAGCAACAGGAGAAAACAAAAAATTAAAATTCATGAGACCTCCCCAATATGGCGGCTCCAAAGCCGAGTCAGACCTCCTCATCATGGCCGACTCATAGGCCAGTCGCCGACCTCCCCAATATGGCATCCGAGGCCGACCTTCCCATCATGGCGCAGGGCCCCGCCCGCTCCGCCGCGGCTGCTGGCGGGAGCAGTTCCGGGTGCGGTGCGCGCCGGGGGCGGGTGGGGGGCGGTGTCCTGGCCATGGCCGGCCTGTCGGACCTGGAGCTGCGGCGGGAGCTGCAGGCCCTGGGCTTCCAGCCAGGACCCATCACCGACACCACTCGGGACGTCTACCGCAACAAGCTGCGCCGTCTGCGGGGCGAGGCCCGGCTACGAGACGAGGAGCGGCTGAGGGAGGTGGCCCGGCAGCGGGGTCAGGACCGGCTGCGGGAGGAGGCTCGGCTACGCGAGGAGGCGCCGCTACGCGCCCAGCCAGCCGCAGCCTCTCTGCGGTCCGAGCCCTGGGTCTCCCCTCCGGCCTCGGGCCCGGCCTACACAACTGCCGGGGCCTATGGCGATCTCGGAGCCTCCGCATCTTCCTGGGCCGGGAGCCGCGGCCTGGCCTACCCCGCCCGCCCTGCGCCGCTCCGGCGACGCGCCTCGGTCCGGGGCAGCTCCGAGGAGGACGAGGATGCTCGGACGCCCGACAGGGCCGCACTGGGCCCGGCCCGCCGCTGGTGGGCCGCGTCCCCGTCCCTGGCGCGGCCGCCCTCTGCCCTCCTCAGTCCCGACCCGCGCCCAGGCCTGAGGGCCTCGCGAGCGGGCTCTGCAGGCGCCCCGCGGGCCCGGCCCGAAGTGGGGCGGCGGCTGGAGCGCTGCCTGTCTCGGCTCCTGCTCTGGGCCAGCCTGGGGCTGCTGCTCGTCTTCCTGGGCATCCTCTGGGTGAAGATGGGCAAGCCCCCGGCGCCGCAGGAGGCGGAGGACAACAGTACGTCCCGGGCCGGCACAGGGGAGGGCCGGGGGGCGCGAGTCCGCAGGGGCCACCGCCGGTCCAGCGCCAGGCCGCACAGCCCCGCGCCCTGTGGTGCCTCTGTCTTCCCAAACCCTCACTTCCCTTCTCCCCGGCACTGCATTGTCTTCTGCCTTCGCTTTCTTTTCTTACTTAGCCCTCCCTTCTAAAGCCTCCCTTTCTGCCACATGCTGGCGGGGGGTTGAGTTCCCCAAACCTCTGGTTTTCCCTCTGGAGAGAAAGCCACACCCCCGCTAACACATCGACCCCGTCCCTTTTTGGTTCTTCCTTTTGGGTCTCTTGCTCACTCACACTTTAGTCCCTTTTGAAAGTCCCCCCCCCCAAGGCCACCCCCTGATTTGACTGGCCCACAGAGAGGATCTGGTTGGGGTCCCAGCTTTGCAGTGCCAAAGAGACTATTTTGGACCATGGGACCTTCATTTGTCAAAAAGTTTATGCTAGCCCTGCCTGCGGAACAGTTGTTGAAGAAGCTTTTGAAGGGCTTAAACTGATCCCAACTGAGGTGTTTCAATAAGGATTTGAGAGGATCTGTGATTCAAGGAGGGTTCCAGACATCCTCTGTCCACACTTAAGTTACATAATTAGACATACCAATGAGAGGTCTGCAGGATATGGTATGTCTCCTGAAAAGCTGAGGGTTTATATGCTTTCCAAATGGGAAATTTGACTGTCCCTTTACTCTGGGCTCTAGTAGAAAAAAAGAAAAAAAAAAACAACATAATTTCAATATAAATTTAGGTAAAAATGACACTATAGTTCACCAACTTTTAATATTCTTTGCAAAGCATGAATGTATTAATACTATTCCCAGCTTCGAGTCAAAGCCACACCTTTTCAGTTGAAATACAGGAAAAAGCTAAGTCTTAGGTATTATGGCAAACGGATGTTTGGTTGTGTGCAAGTCTATGAGCCTAGGGAGACATCCAAGTGATTCCTCCACTGTGAGAGCAGTTGACCAATTCTGGGAGTAGTTTATCAACCTGCTAAAGAAATTAAGCAGAACTGAATGCCATGGTAGCTGTGTCATACAGCGTCATGTGCCCACTCACTACCAAAGTGCTTTAACACAACAGCTTTGGGAGCATATACTGGAATTACCTGGAGTTCCCCACCCAGATGGTATTCATCCCTATTTAACATATTGTTGTTTACTGTTAATAAAACTGTCACACATGTTGTCTGTTTGGAGCCTAACTCCCTGGGTTAAGCAAGGAAGTCCTATTTGATCCCATTTTACAGATAAGTTGTTGAGTTGCTTGAGAACCTGTGACCACTGGGATGAGGACCCAATTATCTAAACTACTAATCCATGGTTGGGAAACGTGTACTTTCTATTGTCTCTCCATTTTAAGTGCCACATTTCCATGGCAACTTTCTAATCCCCTTATCTGTAATGTTTTACTTCTCCCAACTTTTGAGAGTGACTTTTAATCTCCTGTGTGTTTCTTTTTTTGGTCTCAGTGAAATTATTGCCAGTGGACTGTGAGAGGAAAACAGACGAGGTGAGTTTGAGTTTCTTATATTTCTCCGCCATCAGGTGGAAACTTCCCCAGCAAAGATCATATAAAGGTCATTTTCAGGGAAAGCTTCCTGTAATGTACCAGAATCATGTCACATTCTGTGATGTTTTTGGCAGTGAAAGAGGACTTGAAATGCAGAGAACTGAGTCCCAAGGTCCAGTTCTGGGCTCATTACAGAGGCCTCCCATCAGTCATAGCACCAGGGACTTTGGTCTGTTGCCTGAGTTGATCCAAGGAGATGCAGTGGGTTGTTGAAGGGCCTCGAGCTTTCTGGCATCTGGCAGAAGTGCTGGTAGTTTCCAAGCATCAGGAGCTGTGTTCTCAATTCCATGTTCTCTGGTGTGCACTTGTGGCTCTGAAAACACTGTTCTGATTGGATGCATCAGAGGGGCTTGTTTGAAACACACTGTGAGTGGAATTAGCCCTCTTAGTCTGTTTAGATTTGTTGTATGAAGCCCTGATAATTCCTACAAATAATATTTGGGGGAGGCGAGCAGCCCCACCCATTTATGATTCATGCAGAAGCAGCACCGGAACGGAACCTGGATGCTGGTGCTGGTGTTAGTCTGGGGAAGATATGAGGCAGTAAATTTTCAGGTTATAAATCCTACTAGGAGGTGTCTTGTGCTGCTGGAGGGCATGACTTAGTAGTCTAATTACTAAGTGTACCGTGCCAAGCCTCCGCAGCCTGGGGGCTGAGAAAGAAATGACGCATGGTCATCGGGACACCCTTGCATTGACTTCTGCACTTAATGAAGGGCATCCTGCTGCAGATAACCAGATTTATTTTCCCTTGGCTTCTGATGTGTCATATTTGGGGTGTTTTATAACATTCATTTGTTGCATTCATCCACCAAATACCATTGTTTCCCAGATGTTTTGCAAAAACAGATTGATAATAAACTTACTCTGCCCCCAGCATAAATACTGCAGGTAATGATCAGAAGTGTTGCAGAAACAGAGGTGGCCAGAGGAGAAACTAGAATTTTGAAGACTGAAAGCAGAAACAGGAAAAAAATAACTTTTCTGTATGGTGATGTTAGTTTTGTTTGTCTTTTATTTAGAAAAGGGTCTCCTGGTTTCTAATTCTCAGTCTTTCACATCTCTAAGTGTGTCAGATCCCAAGTGAATGGCACATGTGCTCCCTGGCCTTCTATGAGTATCATGCTCACGTCCCAACAGAGTGAGCCCTAGTACATCCTCCAGGTCCCCACTAAAGATGTGCTCAGTAACCAAACAGCTTTTCTCACCTGCCAAGTGGCACTTCAGATGCTGAATATTCCGTATTCCCAAACCTGCATCAGAGCACAGAATAGCCCGTCCTGGGCCTTATCCACACAGGCTTGTTGGGCCGACTTCATGGGCTTATGAAATGGCCTTCATAGAGGGTAGACTCAGGAGCTGGCAGATGGGGACATACTTCCTGGCTCCTGGGATTCTTGCTAAAGTCTCCTTTGTGTGGCTCCAGTCTCATCCAGGACCCAGACAGGCATTTGAGTATCTGATAAGTGTTCTTTTCCATCTCCACCGTTGAGGACTGTGACACTTTGTGTTTTTCTTTCTGCATTTATGCTGCTGGGAATGTGGAGACAGGCTGGGAGTGGGTGTGTTGTCTTAATCAGGCCATCTCGTCGTCTGGTACCTTCCTGTTTCCTTTGGGTAGTGTCTGCTTATGTTGAGTGATTTGTATGTGAGCTCGCAAGAGTCCCGCCACAGTCCTTATGCAGAGGTCCCACCTAACCCTGTAGGAGGCAAGCCCATGGTTGGTGACCTTCTGCCCTGTGTCCTCTGAGCCCTACGAGATCTGGCAGTGATTCCTTTTCTCTCTGAGGAGTCTGGGCTGCTGGGTTCATCATCCCTCTTACTGGCCTTTATTCCAAGGAGCACTGCAGATGGCAGTCCCTTCGCTATTGTATCTGCTTCTGCTACACGGCACCCTTCTCAGGAGCTTCACCTGATATTTATCACCTCTATTCCTAGGCAAAGCACTTTGCAGAATTTCTGTGGGAAGCCATTCTCCCATGTGATTGGGCACCTCCCTGATTGGGTGTGAGATGTTCTGGCTAAACTGTGTTGGAACTAATCCCCACCCTCTCCAGGTGCGAGAGCCTATCCGTGTAGGGACATTGACCCTGAGACCAATCACTGACCCTGACCTTGGAATGCTGTCCCCCTCGACCTTCATTGGATGGAATTTTCCCCTGAATTTCTTGTTCCCCAATAAAAGGCCATCCTCTGGCGTGCTCTCTCTCTCTCTCCTGCTAGTCCTGAGTAAGCCTTGCTGCCCCACCGGGTGGTCCGAGGCAGGAGCCAGAGGGAGGGCCGTCTCAGACCTGGTCAAAGAAAAAGGTAATTGAGTCTTGTGTGTTTATTTTGATCTCACTAGTTAACTTCTATGCTACGAACCTCTTGTATGAAGCCAGCGTGCTGGTCGCGCGGCTGAAATTTCTTTTCTTTTCTTTTTTTTTTTGAGACAGTATCTCACTATGTTGCCCAGACTGGTCTCAAATTCCTGGACTCAGGGGTTCTCCCATTCCCACCTCCTGGGTAGTTGGGACTACAGGCGTGCCCCATAGCACCCAGCTATTTCTGTTTTAAGAATTCCAGGGCTGAGGGTAGCATAA